CTCGTCCACCCCTTCCCTCTGAGATTGATCAGTCTGTTGCATTCTTCGATATCTATTTTGTTCATTAGTTTATTTTGTTCGTTAGATTCTACATATAAGTGAGATTGTGTAATACTTGTCTTTTCATACCTGGCTTATTTCACTTAGCATAATACTCTCCAGGTCCCCCCATGCTGTCTTAAAGTCTGAGAGAGCCTTCTTTTTAATATCTGCATAGTATTTCATGGTGTAAATGCATCACAGCTTTTTTTATCCACTCAGTTACTGATGGGCACTTGGGCTATTTCCAGATCTTAGCTACTGTAAATAGCATTGCAATGAATATAGGGATGTATATATTTTTTCTGTTTGGTGTTTCAAGTTTTTAGGATATATTCCTAGAAATGGAATTACTGGACCAAATGGCAGTTCCATTTTTTATTTTTTTAGGAAACTCCATAGTGATTTCCATAGTGACTATATCAGTCTGCATTTCTATCAGCAGAGTACTAGGGTTCTCTTTTCTCCACATCCTCACAAACACTTGTCAGTTTGTTGATTTGCTGATGATAGCCATTCTGGCAGGTGTGGGGTGATACCTCATTGTCATTTTTATTTGCATCTCTGATGATTAGTGACTATGAGCATTTTTTCATGTCTCCTGGCCTTCTGTATGTCCTCTTTAGAGAAGTGCTTACTTAGGACCTTTGCCAATTTTTGTTTGTTTGTTTGTTTGTTTTTTAATTGATTCTTAGAAAGAAAGGAAGGGTGAGGGATAGAGAGAGAGAAATATCAATGAGAGAGAAACATCATCAATTGGCCGCCTCCTGCATGCCCCCTACTGAGGATTAAGTCAAAAACCCAGGCATGTGCCCTGACCAGGAATCAAGCCAGTGACCTCTTAGTTTCTGAGTCGACATTCAACCACTGTGGCACACCAGCCTGGCATCCTTTGCTCATTTTTAATTGTATTATTGTCTTCCTTTTGTTAATTAATACCCTACAAAGGAGGCAAGAGCATACAAGAGAGTAAATATTATCTTTTCAATAAATGGTGCTGGAAAAATTGAACAGGTCCATGCAAAATAATGAAACTAGAACACCAACTTACATCATACACAAGAATAAAATCAGATAAAAGATTTAAATGTAAGTCATGAAACCATAAAAATCCTAGAAGAAATCATAGGCAGCAAAATCTCAGACATCCCTCATAACAATATGTTTGCAGATATATCTCCTATGGCAAAGGAAACTAAGGAGAAAATAAACAAATGGTATTACATCAAAATAAAATGGTTCTACATCAAAATAAAAAGCTTCTGCACAGCAAAATAACAAAAAAAATCAACAAAATGAAAAGGGAGTACTGTATGGGAGAATATATTTGCCAATGATACATGGAGTTAATGTCCAAAATATATATAACTTAACAAAATGGAAATGGGGTTCTTAATGATCCTGTCTCTTTGGGATTGATGAGATTTTCTGTTGGCAAGACTATCAAGCAAATTGACGAGACAATCCAGCAAATCCACCCAGTCTAGTTACAGTCTATCTAGCCTGTTGGTGTAGTATAGCAGTAATGCAATTTCCTCTTAGAGATCCTGTCATCAGTCATCTCAGCCTTCATCTATCTGTTTTTCAAAAATAGGCATTCCTTGAAAGGAGAATATAGAGATAAACTTGCTATAACTGTGATTGCCTCTGAGACAAGAGGAACACAGCTTTCAACACCTAGTATCCCTGCATTCCCCTCTTCTGATAGAAGTGTCTTCACTCAAATCTCAACTTCTTTTCTGAAAAAAATCATCTGTCTATCTTAAATTTATGCATGCAGCACTGCATGCTACTGAATACTACAGTGGAAGTGAAGGGTCAGAAGAAAAACAAAAGGATTATTTCCCTGCTAGTGCATATGGTCTCTACATAGCTCTCATTTCCCGGGCAGCCCAAGATGAGTGCCACAGTAAGCTACACACAAGTTTTCTCTGACTTAACTTCTATCTACTCCAGTGCAGTCACACCCCTCGCTTCACTGGACTATTGCTCTGACTTTGCTTCTGTTCTAACCCTCCCTACACACACACACACACACACACACACACACACACACACACACACACACATACACACACATAGTGGACTTCCTCTCTATTCAATAGCCATAGTGATCTTTATAGAACATGAGTCATATTAAGTTTTTCCCATGCTGAAAACCCTCCAGTGGCTTCTCATCAGTCCTAAATTATGGTTAGTCCCTAAGGGTGCCGTGTCTCACACAGCCTCACAGGCTAGTCTTCTTTAATACCTCAATGATGCCGCCTGTTACTGGGAGAGGAGACTGCAATAGTGCTGATAGTGCCAGCCAAATGCTAGCCACTGCCACTGATGCAGAAAGAAAGAAAGAAAGAAAGAAAGAAAGAAAGAAAGAAAGAAAGAAAGAAAGAAAGAAAGAAAGAAAGAAAGAAAGAAAGAAAGAGAGAGAGAGAAATTAAAGTTTTCCTTGTCCTACTGTCTTTTCATCCATTCTATTACAGTCTGCTCTCTACTTTTACCTCCCAAGACTTCCTTTGCTTTTCAAACAGCACTGACCAATTTTTCTTCACGTTGAGCTTTTCTGAACAACATTCATCTGTTCTTCCTATGCCTTCTGGAGTGACAGGGTAAAAAAAGCATTTTTGTGTGTATGTGTGCGTGCTAATGATTGTGTCAAGATTCCCAGCTGCCCCGCTAGCTTTCACCTTCTGTGGAAAGACCTATGAAGAACTTGGGCTATCTCACATCACTGCCAAAGTTGTCATCAATGAAGACAAATTGAAGATCCTAGCACCCTATGCTTTATGTTCAATGGCAGTCAGTATTAAAATCTGTTTTTCAGCCTGCTTGCCCTACCTAGGATGGAAGTTGTCACAAAACCAATTTTAAGAGTAGTATTCTTCCATGTATGTCTTTATTTCTAAAATATTAGTCAAAAACAAGAACAATATCAAATTTTGCTCAAGGTATTGCACTTAGACTCATTTGGAAGAAGAAGACGCATCTTATTCCAGATTATTTTATTTCTACCATCTCTAAAGTTTAGTTCTTGTACCTCTCAGCATTCAAAGGCCATGCCCAAAAATATTAGTTCCACTTTCTCTGCAAGTGAACCTACAATTGATAATGTTCACCAATTACCACCAGGCTTGACCTAATCCCTCAAGAACTTGGCAAACTTTTGGCAAATGAATTAAAGGATAAAACCAAGATTCCTGATTTTTTAGAAAAGAAAACACTTTAGACAGCTTCCCACTAACTTTCACTTTCTGTGGAAAAACCTATAGATTCTTCAGAGCTGGTGTCATTTGTTCATTCCTCTAGGTAATCCAACTTTTATCTCTGTCTCTTTGCTCTTTCTGTACAAAGTTTGAAGATGTGCAGCTCCCTCCCTCTCTCTCTCTCTCTCTCTCTCTCTCTCTCTCTCTCTCTCTCTCTCTTTCCTCTCCAATGCGCTTCATAACATCTTGCTCCTCTTCCACACACAAGACTTCTCTATGAGTGCTAAACTCCACTAGCAGATACTCCTTCAGCTCAGTAAGCTTCCCCTTTACTTTATTTCCTGATTTACAGGAAAACTAGAGAGTGCCCTCCCTCATAGGCTCGAACTAGAGCTAACACAGTTCGCCCACAGCAATAGAGGTTCCATCTATTTCTCCCCCAGTAGCATCACTCCTTTCTTTTATCTGCCAATTACTAACAATACAGATAGATTCTTTTCCATTTCTTACCTTTTTATTTCAGAATCACATGCTGAACCAAAATAATAAATCTATAGAGGCAATAGAACAGAGATCCCGAAATCAAATAAACTGAGCTCCATCAGGATCAAGTACATATAGTTACACAATGTTTTAAACGTGGCTCTGATTCAGTTTTCTCATCTGTAAAATGGGATAATACTAATAGCCACCTCATTTGCTTAGAGTCAAAAATAAAGTCTTTTATACGAAAACAGGGATTTTAAAGCTTTTACTCCATTTTGAGAGAATCAATTTTCCTATGTTTAATAGGTTGTCACGTGGGAGAGTGGCTTTGCTTTTTTTACCCTGTCACTCCAGAAGGCATAGGCAGAACAGATGAATGTTGTTCAGAGAAAGCTCAACATGAAGAAAAATTGTTCAGAGCTGTCTGAAATGGAAAAGAAACCTTGAAAGGTATTACTTTACTGTCACTGGAGGAAAAAGCAGAGAACAGGCTGTAGTAGAATGGATGACAAGAGAGTAAGACAAGATAAACTTTAAAACTTTTTTACATGAAGACCGCTTGGCCTTAATACAAAGGAAGTGAGGAAAAGTGGAATGATGGAAGAAAGCAGGAAGATAAAGGAGAGCAAATGGCTCATTTAGCAAATGGGAATATGGCGATGATGATGATGATGATGATGATGACAACGACAATAACGATAATATTAAAGAAAAAAATCACAAAGCCACAAAACTTAAGATATTGAAGTATTTATTGAATTTAAATAAACATATCAGTGAGCCATAATTATTGTCATAAATATTGATATTAGTCTTATACTTAAGTAGCAATATCATGATTCTATAAATAAATCCATATTAGTAAAATGACATAAATAAAATATTTATAACAATAAATAAACTTATAAATATTAAATCTTAATTTTGAAAATAAAGTTTTTTAGGTTGGGGTTTTTTTTTTCCTAAAGGAATGGGAAGTAATTTTTTTTATACGGATAGACCATTCAGCATTCAATTGCTTAAAAATGAATTTCTGTGTATAAAATGCCAATTACAATTAGCAATAAATCTCATTATGTTTAGTACCTTCTATTCTTATGGACACAAGTGACATGGTTCTCTTTTTTAAACTAAGTAGGGATTTATATATTTATATATCCTTGATTATGAAGTTTGACCTCCCATTTTCCTTTCGGTAAAAGAAAATCTTTGGGATCTTATTGTTATTTCCCACAGGCAAGAAGAGTTATTTTCCATTTTCCAGCTTTTCTGTGATCAAATGCAGGCTTCGTTCAGGTATTGAAGCAACAAGTTTACTTCTCCAATTGCTTTTATCTTTCCACTCTCCCCAAGCTGTGAAAATAAAAAAACACAAGTATTTGAGTACTTTCACTGTATTTTTAAAAGAGGGATGAATTAGAAGAAAGTGGCTTGATTAGGTTGTTTGAACAAAAACCAAGTTTTAGCCTTTGTAAAATAAAAAAAATAAAAATACCTCTTAGCAATAACATATGACTTGCCAAAGACCTTATAATTATGGCTATTTGAACTGAGAGGACACCAAAAGCTATCAATCTCTGTGGTACCACATGCTAATGAAGTTGTTTAAAACCACTTCCTAACCAGAGCAGCCAGATGGGAGCTATGACAGGGGATCCAGAGTACCACCCATTAGGACTTCCCTACTCCATAGCCCCACAACTGTCTACAACTAATAAATTATTTACAACAGTTGTCTTGAATCAAAACTATACTTTTCCAATACGCATGATGTTTTCTGTTTTCACCTTTTTAACAAAAGAAAAGAAACAGGCTTTCACTTTTGTGAAAATATCAAATAAGTTCTATTCTGTTGCTTTTTATTAGTAGAAAGCCAAATACAGGTTCTAATATTCTTTCTTCTTCTTTCAAGTAGTATATAAATGAGGCTTTCAAACCCAATGGAAGAGGGTCCAAATTCAAGTTTAAAGCACCCTCTGAAACTCATCTGTCCTCTATACTTTGCTCTCTTTTCTCTTCCTATTTTCTTCCACTCTTCTACTCTTCTTTTGTTTTAAAGGCCAAGTTATATTTGTGTAAAAAAAATAAAGTTTTTCTTGTCCTATTGTCTTTTCATCCATTCTACTACTGCCTGCTCTCTGGTTTTACTCCCAAGACTACCTTCCCTTTTCAGACCACGCTGACCAATTTTTCTTCATGTTGAACTTTCTCTGAACAACATTCATCTGTTCTGCCTATGCCTTCTGGAGTGACAGGGTAAAAAAAGCATAGCTACTCTCCCACGTGGCAACCTATTGCACATGTGAAAGTTGATTCTCTCAAAATGGAGTAAAAGCTTTAAAATATCTGTTTTCTCACATAGCACCATCATATTTCTCTCACACACACTTTACTCTTCTAAAGAACACAGAGTAAACTGATATCAGATATCTTTCAAACCAGAAGGGCAAAGCACTTTTTGGCTATGGCATGCCAATATTCATCCCTTCATATCCAGGTAATACTTAATTGGGAGAATTGAGCCTCACAGTCAAAAACTACAAAGACCACAACCATTATGTTCATTAAGTGATGCTCAGGAAGAAAGACTTTGGGTTAAAAAAAAATCAAGATGGAAAAAGAAGGGAATTGTCATTATGCTTCTTGCTGAAATTTTCATCAACTAGAGCCTTCATGATTCTGAGGTTTAATTATACCTGCTTGCAAGAGCTTCACTTTCGCTGCTACTAATCATTCTTCTGGTTTTGAGATTAGTCACAATTGATAGTCTGAGCCTTCTACTGTTGTTCTTTTCCCCAAATAGGCCACAGGATAGTATCATTCACTGTAGAAATACACACTAGCCTACACCAGATAGATGCTCGCTGTCTATCTAAGGATTTATCGTGGTGGAGAAAAGGATAGAAATGAAGGGAAAAGGACAGAGGAAGAAAAGATTTCTAATTCTAATTTCCATGTTACTATAATAAATCTACTACTAATGTTTTTATTCTATTTTAAACTGTGTAAATATTGAGGGTTGCTTTTAAATTCAAATCAATAGCTGTCAGTTACTGTATTACGGTAACTAAATATAAGTATTAATCATTCCAGAAATTCAGTCTACAGTCAAGTCACGCTCTTTTGTTACAGTTGTTCTGGGTTTATTTCTCCAAGTTTTAAATCATCAAATTTAATGGTTTTTAAAATCACTTCAAATAAATATGCTCCCAGGCCCTTTTCTGTTTTGAACAAGTGATTTTTCAGATTGCATGGACTATAGGAATCTTAAATTTCCCTAAGAATTAATGATACCAAAACTAGTACCTATTGCTGCTGAAAGAGTGCTAGCCTGGATGGGATTCAGGAGAACTGCATTCTAGCCCAGGCTCTGCCACTGGCCATCCCCAGAGCATGGATGATGAGATTAAACATCCTAACTTCCCATACAGTTCTAGAATTCTATGATTTGAAAAAGTTTCCAAATGATTTATAAATATAGACACACACATCTATATCCATATATACCTAAATTATCAACCTAATGGTAGAAGAATCAAGTAAAATAATCATAACTTGGGGAGTAAAAGTAAGAAAGGAAGGGTAATAGAAAACATTTGTCTCTCCTACTTAATTATTCAGCATTAATAGTTATTAGTAGTACCTCTTTCACTGTGTCCTTCAGCTTTTGGACATTTCTGTGGATATGCTGGTCATAACTCTCAATGTGCTAGAAAATGAAAAGCAGAGTAATTATTTTAACATTGTTGTACTGATATTTTATGAACCTCAGTGTCCCCAACAGAGAGAGATATGTTACAATTCACCTGGAGTTAAAGTTCTTAGCATTTGTGCCCACAATGACCTAGATTTCACCAGTGACCTAAATTTTCTGAGCTCTTGAATTCCCTTGGACAATAAAATCCAGTCATTTCCTTTATTCACTTTTGGGAAATCTTATTGAGGTTTAAGTTTATGTAAAGAGTAGAATGGTTTATGCAAATTCAATCAAGATTAAAACCTTAACTGTATCTTATCAAAAATGCACCCTCAGAGCGAGAAACAGACATAAAACATCATCTATGAACAGTGGACCCTCCCCAGTAGGTACTAGGGGACCCTCCCCATCTATGAACAGTGGACCCTCCCCTTTGCCCACTTCACTCAAACTTTTTTCATTGTTTTAAATGTTCATGGGCATAGAATTCACACGCCTTTGATTTTATCACTTCCCATGACATCAACAGGGTAGGAGTCTTTGCCCATCCACCATGGAAGATTAAACCTTCCCATTTCCCTCTTTCTCTCTTTACTATCCCTTCCCTTGATCAATTTCTACTCAGTGGATCCATTTCCACATCTAGGTGTTCAGACACCTTTCGCATCTCACATAACCTGAGTTGCTTTTCCCAGAGACAAATGAGGCTTCTATGCACTTATCTTTCAGACCCCATTAGTTATCTTAAATTCAAAATATGACTCAATTAAAGCAAATGCTCTGGGATTCCAAATGACTCCTATAATGGTGTCACTGAGGCACCTCTTACTGCCAGCAGAGAAGGAGGCCATGAGGATTGGGAGGAAAGGGTTCTAAATGAAAGAAGGAGAAAAGGCAGGTGACTAGGAGTGGATGAAGTTAAGCTGAGAGAAGAACTTACGCATTGGCTAAGCATGTTGCTAAGCTTTTTCAGGAAAGACACCACTTCCCTCATATAGGGCGGGAATCTCTCAAACTCGGGGAGTAGCACTTCTTCAAGGGTAAAGTTCAGCACCTGCTTCATCACATAGCAGCGCGCATTCATCTGCAGGCAAACGTAAAACAGCAGGGATCATATTAGGGTACATCCAGAAGATCCAAACCATCTTCACCACCGCTCCAAGTAACCATGGACGGCACACTGCTATGGCTTACATTGACTCCGTCGTACAGTTTATCTCCAATGAGACGAACATCTGTGTTGTTATCTATCAAACTAACCTGGAAGAGAAGAAAAGACTAAGTGTTTGGACATCGAAGAAATAGAACAAAAGTCTGTAAGTAGAGATGTGCTTTATCCCCTCTCCCAAGTGCAGCCCAATGAAGACCCAGGAAAGAATTCAGATGTGTGCATGAGTTTAAAACAATGCACAGAGGAGTACAGAGCAAATGAATAGTCAGCTGGGCTCCTTTGGGGGTAAAACTCCATTTACATATTTTAAAGGCCAAAATGGAAGGTCTTCTGATAAAGCCCAACTCCAAAGAGTCTACGACAAGACAAAATAATCTCTTGTCTACTAGTAGAGATAAGTGATGGGTTCTTAAATGTGCTCTGCAGAAAAATGTAAGAACTATTTGGGTTCCAAGTAGATAAGATACGAAAGAGAGAGATTGAGATGGGTACCTCCTGGGCCATCTTGAAGGTGTGGTTGGTGAAATAGGACACCTGGCTGTCAGACTTGTTAAGCCTGCAGTAAGACCTGACGGGCACAGCTGCTCCCCCCTGCACTGACAGGGCAATGAGAAGAAGGCAGCTGGCAGCCAGAGTTCCCATAAGGGAAAAGCTCACAGATTTCTGCAGGGTGGCCATTGAAGACAACTCTCACTCCGGCAATTGGCAGGTAGGGAAGAAGAACCTGGTATCAAGAAAGCAAGAACATAAAGGAAGATCATTAAGTGTCAAGAAGTATCAGGACAAATTAATCAATCATACTAAGTTTGCCTGAAACACTTACCTGCTTCAGTGATTCTGCTTGTGATGGAAAGGTAGAAGCTGCTGCTTTTATAGCCCTTGGGACACCAATTTTTTTTATTGTAAAAAATATGACATCAGCAATTATCTAATTTCCAGTGTCATCTTCTGAAAACTACCTAACCACCATAGGAGCCCACAAAACGCCACCTCCCATCTTTCCCATCTTGATATGCAAGTATTTCCCTAAAACGTCACTCTTCGGTTCCAGACAGTGCTTTTACAGGTAAATCCTAGAATTTTTTAAACCTGACATATTTTTCAAAGAAAAGAATTGCTTTGTCTTTATAGAGTCCATGTTTCGTATAATGTTTATAGTAACTGAGTAAGCATTTTGGTCACGGACTCATTTTCCTTTTGATCTTTATAGATTCTTATCTCATTATAGTTGATCAGAAATAATGACCTGTGTCCTATATTCTCTGCTTTAAAATGATGACATCTTGGAGATAATTCTATTTTTTAAAAATACTTTCATCTTATTTTTTAATATGCTAAATCCTGAAGAAGACTCACATTTTAAAAATAAAAGTGTTGGCTAATCTAAGCACTATTTTCCTTGCATTCTTTTTTTCAAGTAATCATAACAATTATGGTAGATGCAAATATATCTTAATTTTTTTTCATTGAATTAAAATTAATATCAATTTAACTTTGTAAATATTAATGTTGAACAATCTTATCACTATTATTTTTAACATGCAAGTATTTTAAAAATAAAGTCATCTAGTAGTTTATCTTGAAATTTTACCTGCACTCATTCTAAACAACACACAAGTCTCAAAATAATGTTTCCAAGATCTTGTAACAAATGGTAGTGTATATATATCACTATCTGAAGAAGAGAACCTGGCAATATCTTGACTTTACATTATTAAAACTGCACTGACTTCTAAATAACACCTAACATCTAGACTAGAAAACCATCTAAAGGGTGGGAGCAGAGAGCAAAGTGCACTGATCTATTGCTAGAAGAAGGAATGTGAATTTGAATTTATTCAATAAGATTTTTCTCTTCACAACTGTTGCAGATAAGGAGTGTTGAAGAACTGGAGGAAAGTGAGTGATTGTAGAAACTTGAGCATTTTGTGAGATGGCACAGACCTAAGTGAGGAGCCACAGTGAAGGGTGAGAATAGCATGAAAACACAGCATTTGGGAAAGTGACCTTAAGAGAACCATGCAAAAGAGAAGAGTGGGGAAGAGTAAATAAAAATTAAACTCATTCAAAACTTTCTCTTGGGGCTGTTCATGAGCCTAAAATGATGAAACTCTTCTTTATATAAGAAATTACCATTTTTTAGCAGAACTCTGCATAATGATATTAGCACCAAAGTTAAGTGAGTCTATGTATTAAATAGGCTTTTGTTGGTTTGCCTGAGAACCTGAGAAGTATACATATTTTGTTCCCATGGATAGATAAGTTGTGACATCATTGAATTATATGCTTTTGAAGGAGAAGTCTCTGTCTTTTTAAATTTTTTAACCTTCAACCTTAAAACAGTTTTATGCACATACATAGGAAGTACTCAGTAGGAACATATGAATGAATAAATAGTTCTGTGTAATTCAATAATTTACTAAATATCTGTGGGAACATGCATGGAGGTAATTTTGAGATTAGCATTATAGCAGCACTTCCAATGTTGGGATTTGACCCAGTACTACTTGTCAGCTTCAGTATTATTCCTGAATAGAGAATAAATATCTGTGGAAAAAAAAAACTAGAATGTCAGAAAAGTGTGAACCAGTCTTTAATAGCAACTGCATGTCTATTATTCATTACATGGCCCTAGTGGACCACCATTAATGGATAGCATTAATGGAGTTAAGATTTAGATTTTAATGAACTTAACCAAAACCCACTAAAATGAAATCCGCTCTCTAGCTGTATATGGATTTGTGAATAGTCATACAAGGAGTATCAAAAATATTTGTTATTAGGAGAAATTATGAATACAGAATAAAATTGCTCCTGTAGGAAGAAAATAGCTGAAGACATATGTGTGCTACATAACTTCAGATCATACTGAATTTCTCTTCAGTTGTTTCCTTATGAATTTTCAAGTCTTTCCCAGAAACCAACACAGATAAAGGGCAAGCCCAGAATCATGCCCCCAGGTCTCACACAGAATGTACCCAAGGTTGATCTTAGATACATGAAACAATTTATCTAGTCAAATCCAAAAAGGACTAACTAGAATCACCAACCATCAGGGAAGCTATTCTGTCTCATTCATTATAATATCCCTAGCACCAAGAACATGGAGCAGATGATGAATAAATATTCACTGACCACATGATAAAACTACGTTCCAACTTGTTAGCAGATGCTTGGAAACTTTTTTATTCTTCATACTCCTCAGTACAACACACATGATCGTTGTTCCACACAAGGTTGTTCCTCTCTTTCTCTGTGTGTGTGTGTGTGTGTGTGTGCGCGCAAATGTGTGTGTGATTCTACCCTCATTATTCTCATCCCCTCCATTCCAAACACCCACTACCACCTTTATGCCTGCTATAGGTTTCTGCTCTAAAGCATTTGATATATATTTCTGAATTTGTATGCATCCCTATAAAACAGATTGTGCTTTAGTGCCTGTAGAAATATTTTTTACAGAAATGATTCTTTGTCTTAATTGTTCACTCATCACTATGGTCTTGCAATCTAACTATGTTGCCATATGTGGCTCCTTTATCCAACATGGCATTCCCTAGTGTGTACCGACATTTTACTTGTTTCCCCTTTGATGGGCACCTTAGACCACTTCCGATTGCCAACTCTACAGGCATTGCCGCATGATGCAACCTCACGTAAGTCATTTTATTCTACTTTTTAAAAAAATATACCTTTGAAATAGTTACCCAGGAGTAGGTCCACTGGGTCACAGAAATAAGTTAATTCACTTTTACTAGGTACTGCCAGATTGCTGTTCAGAAAGGCAGCACAGATTCTCTCATATCAGTGAAGAAAGGTTCCTCTTTTCTTACTCCCTGCCCACCTTATTATGCCAGCTTAATTTTGCCAGCTTTTGGAGGTATGAAATGGTATCTCATTGTTGATTTGATTTGCATTTTTCTCCATACACTTGCAGCCACTTAGGTTTCCCCTTTACCTATTGTTTTGCCTATTGTTCTAGAGGGCTTTGGTCTGTTGATGTTTGGTTGTTGTTGATTTATAAGAGTGCCCTGTATATTTTCTAAATTACTCTCTTGTAGTTTTAGGCATAATAAACTCTTTTCCCAGCTGGTGTTCTATTGATTTTGTCTATATGTCCTTTGTTCAACAGAAAATTTAATTTGCATTAAAGACATTATTTTTCATTTTGTGTTTTGCATTTTTCAAAGCTTTGTTGAAAAAAAAATCTCTCCCCTTAGGTCACAAAGTTGTTCTATCTTTTCATTTATCTGATCTATGCTTTTGCCTTTCACAATCAGGTATTTAATGCATTTCTGTATATGTTGGAAAGTAGGGATCCAGTTTTATTTTTCTCCACATAGAAATGAGCCAGTTTTTAGTGAGTTCTTTATCATATGTTTCCTATAATAAATAGCTACTTCTGTCTATCTCTGAGCTCTCTATTTTGTTGCATTGGTTTATTTACTTTTTTTCTTACTATCCTTGAGCCAATTTTATAATATTTTTATTACTTTATATCAAGACAGGAAAATCTACCTTCTTTGCTCTACTTTTTTCTGGTTTCCTTAGCTAATTATTCTTAGGCTTTCATATATATTTTTTTATATAAATTTGTTAAAGTTCTAGGAAAATGGGGTAGAAACTGTAATTCAGCTATCATTTAGTTCAAAGATTAATTTTGAGGGAATTAACACCTTTATAATATTAATTCATTCCACTCAAGAGCATTTACTATCTCTCTACTACTTAAGATCTTTTATATTCTTTGATTGTGTTTCAAATTTTTCTCCACTGGAGTCTTGTATATTATTTTTAAATCCTAGTTACTTTATAGAAGAAGCAAGATATGTGAATGAGTACCAAGTTGACTTGGAGAAGGAGACTGTTGGGGTTCTCCTCACCTGAGAACATGAAGAGCATGGTCTTTTTTTAAGGTCAGTGGAAAGGTGAGATAGTGATACACAGCAAAGAACAAAGCCAGAGACTGGGGTTTTCAAACACAAACTTTATTTATTCCCCAGTGTTGCTTGAAGATAACACTGATGATGCCCAAGATAACTTTCTCCCATGGCCACCTCAATCTGCTAACACCCTGCCCACAAAGACACTTGTCAACCATAGCCATCTCTTTTTCCTGAGAATTGAAACTTAAGAATCTGTACTATATGTCATCTTGAAGGAAAGATTTTACCATGGGAATGTGTCATAATATAAATGATTATATTTTCCCCTCTTCTGATAACAAGTAGTACTAAAATCAATTTCAGTTATGGAAGAAAGCAATAATTATACAAATTCCTCACTGTTCTAATGCTTATAAACAGAATTTGACATTGGCTTCCTGATGTCTACCTCCACTGTCATAGATTTTTCAAAATCTATAGGATCCTTTTGAATCTTTTATTTCATTATTTTTTGACTAGTAAGTATTAAAAATCATAATTCACGCTTGCTTATAACACCAAATATTCAAAGTCATAGTTAATTAACTAATATCAGTGAATCTTATAATCCAAATCTCTAATAAGTTTTGGGTTATTAATATTCCTCACAATCTCTCAGACCCATGTTTTATACTTAAAAAGTACAGTAATAGTTAACAACTGTGTTGTAGCAGCTTTAGAATTAATCTGAAGTGGGATTAATTTTTAGAGAAAACATTGAATGGCCCTAACTACTGATTAGAGAACTGGAAATGT